GCTAGTCCAGACTTTGAAGACCCAAAGTCCAAATCTTTACTTAGTGATCTTGGGAAAGTAATACGCTTTCAGCTTCAGGGGGCAGGCAATGACAAATACTCCACTGAACAAATTTTGCTAAGAATATTCTGTGATAGGTTCTTCTTAGGGTTGCCAAAGTCAGAAACATAGAATCATAGAATTGGAAGAGAGCTCAAGGGCCATCCAATCCAACCTCCTGCCATACAAGAATACAAAATCAAAGCACTCCCAACAGATGGCCATCCAACCTGTGCTTAAAAATCTCCAAAGAAGGAGACTCCATCACCCTCTAGGGAGTGTGTTCCACTGTCAAACAACTCTTGCTATCAGAAAGTTCCTCCCAATACTGAGGCGGAATCTCTTTTCCTGTTTGAATCCATTGTTCCATCCTCAATATGACACCCCTTGAAATATGTAAATAGGGCTATCGTATCACCTCATAACCATCTCTTCTCCAGGCTAAACATACCCAGCTTCCTAAGTTTCTTCTCTTAAGGCATGGTTTCCAGTCCCTTCACTATTTTGGTCCCCTCCTTTTTACACACTCCAACTTCTTGACATCCTTTTTGAACCGTGGTACCCAGAACTGGACACAATATTCCAGGGAAAAACTTGGAAGGCATACATCAAGAACAACTCCATAGTAGGTGCAGCTTGAAGAAGTGTAACTATTCTTAACAATTCAAACCTATTGTTTAGATGTAAATGTAATTGTCGACAATGGAATTTCCTCCCAATTAATGGATATTTATTTATTTATTTATTTGGTACTTTTCTCCTAGAAGGGACACAAGGTGGTCTCTTCTGATATAGGAGAAGGAAACATAATAAGGCTTTAATATAACAGTTTTCTAGTTTTGATTCTCTCCAAAACAGTGCACTAAGACATTTATCTTTTATTACTTTAGTTTTCTTTTGATATGTATTGATCCATGTACATATATCCATTCTACTTTCTTTCCAAACTGGGAGTTTGATCCCAACTCAGATTTTTCTTTTCATTTGAGATGCGAATATGTGTTCTACCTCACATTCTATGTAATCACCAATAGTTCTTTATAAATATATACAAGAAACAGTGTTTTCCTTCTGTTTGAATGTTGGTGTTCAGATGTTAGTGTAAATTTTCAAATGTCTTTATTTTAATGTGACAAGACAATAAAATGTTTGTTTAGGTTTACTTTCGCTTTCTGTCTCAGACTGTTTTGTCTAGCTCATTGTGTCATTTCCTTTCTTCTCATCTGCAACCTACAGTTCAGTGTTTCATTTGGTTCCATGCACACAGTGCCATTTGTCTGCCATGCCAGTTTCTTAGTAGAAGCATGGTTGAAATGAAAGATGAAGAATTCAGAAACAGATGGATCTTGCAAGAAGTGTTTTGGAGATGCCAAACTGGAAAGAAAATAGGAGAAATGTATGCAGTTGATCACTGAGAGCAGCTGGAGAAGGCATATGACATATTTTCATAGTTATGGGTTAGCTTCTTCTGAGAGGTTCTCAGAAGAGTGTGTTTTTATGAATCCTTTTCTTCAGTGGGTTTGTCTGGCAGTAGAAGGCAACTGTATACTGAGTAACAGCAAGTGGATGGGTCTAGTTATCACTATGATTTCTTACTTAGCACAGGAGCCATGTAATGCCAAGGGCAGTTGTGGGTAATTAAAATGGACTCTAGATAAGATTGCCAGGTCATGACTGTCTCAGGCCCTGAGGTTTCAGAGTCAAAACCTGAGGCCTAGGGATTGTCTCCATGTGATGTCCTAGAGAGTGGTGATAGTACAAAGGGGACATCCTAGTGATATCATTACGCATTATATGTTAAGCATCAACTACAGTTGCACATAGGATGCCAGTGGGGGATCTGAGGGCTTCAGAAGAGGGTCCAGGCTCTGATATTTTGTATCACCAGGGCTAGGCTTAAATAAGCCTATGGGGAGGTGTCAGCAAAGGGCCCTTGAGAAGATTGCTCCTCCTTCCTTTCCTTTTGAAAGAAGCTTTGCACATACAATCATTGCAGGACAGACATAAGTTGAATGCTCATAGCTTTCCTAACTGACAGGAAAGGTTTCCTTATCATGATCTGTACAGTAAGTCATCTTCAGCTCTTAAAAGATCCTATGACAATCATGTCCCCTACAACTAGATTCTCCAGTGGGTTAGGACAATCTACATGTTGAGCATCAAGAATGTAAGACAATTCTTTCTTGATAAAAAAACCCCTGTCTAAACCAGCATCTTGCTGCCCACAAGAAAGCCCATGGGTAGCACATGAATGAACTAGCATCCTTCTACTTACATTCCATGTGTAACTGATATTCAGAAGAATGCAGCCTCTGATGCTGGAGTCAACATACAGCCATCACAAGTAATTACCATTAATAGATAAAAACTTCATGAATTTATCTGATCACTTGTCAAAGCCATCTCGGGTAGTGGCGATTGCTACACCTTTCACCAAATTTCATAAACTAATTATTGCAATATAAATGAGGAGCAGGCCTGGATGTATTAGCATGAAGGATGATGGGTTAAAAATCATACCAACTCTTGTATGGAGAAAGGTCATTTTTTAAAATAGCAAAGAGATGGGTAAAAAGTTTACATCTTCCTATGTGTGTGCTGGTTCCTGTCTGAATTTGGGCCATGCACACTAACTCTTGAGTAAAACAAATACTGTACAGGCATAAAGCTGCCTGCTATGTGTTTACCAGTCATAGCATGTAGTGTGACCTCAATTTGTTCTGTCTTTAATAAAAATGCCTGACCCCTTCCTGTGAATGAAAATAATAATGTCCGGTACATAATAGAGAGTTTTCTTTACTATTAATTATATAAAAGTCCCACTTTAGCTCTCTTGTCAAAAGTGAGCAAACTGAGAGTTTGGTGGGATTTTATCTGAGGAAAGTGTGTACAGGAGTAAGGCATTAGCCCGTAGACATCTTCCTTCCCTACAACAGTGGCTGTTAGACTGCAGTCCCCAGAAGCCCTAGCCAGCATAACCAGTTGTGAGGAAAGATGGAAACTGCAGTTTAGCAACATCTGGAGGGTTGCATTATTCATACCATCTGCCGTAAAAGTGCAGCTTTCTATCTCCTCAGAAACAAGATCCACTAATTTCAATGAGTTTTACTTGTACTTAAATATGTACATGTTTGGAGTTTAAATCTCTTAATAAGGATGTTTGGCAGGAAGAGACGATGTGCAGGCAGTCTGCAGTTGTATAAATTTCCTGTTGTCCCATTTGTTTTTGTTCAGTAGACATCATAGTGCTACAAATAGCACTGGGACTTCCTTAGTCAGACAGGCAGACTGACCTAGGGCCTTTGCAGACTGCTAGAAATAGTGCAAATTGAGTCCACTTTAATTGCCCTGGCTCAGTGCTAGGGAATCATGGGAATTGTATATTTTTCTGAGACATTGAGCCTTCTCTGTCAGAGAGCTCTGGTGCCACAATAAACTACAGTTCCCATGATTCCCTAGCACTGAGTCAGGGCAGTTCAAGTGGACTCAATTTGCACTATTTCTAGCAGTCTGCAAAGGCCCCTATAGAGTCAGCAGGATTCTGTTTTAGGGGTGGAGATCAGGCAGTTCCCAGCAGTTCTCAGTTTTCATCCAGCATTTCTATAAAAGCATTCTGTTTTGCTTGGGGTAATATTCTATCTAGCACATTAAAGAGACTTTCCCTTTTTAAAAAGTGAAATCAGACTAGATAATGAAAAGCCACCTGATCTTCTAACTGTTTTGTTGTTATGGTGTAGTGTATGTGTGTATGTATCAAAAAGAGAATGAGAGAGAGAGAGAGAGAGAGAGAGAGAGCTGATCTCAGTTTAACAGAACATACTGAATAGGTGCCACCATAATTTCCCATTATGACAGGGATGGACAACTTGCAATGTTTCAGATGTTAACTTCATCTCATACAGATCTTAAACCACTGGCTGTAAGTTAGTGGAACTGTAGTGGACCAAAAAGTCGATAGTAGTGATAGTGAACCTTTTAGGGGCCAAGTGTTCCTGGGGGAGGGACTTCTGGGGTGGGATGGGACTTCCAGGACAAGGACTTCTGCCTTCTAGGGGTGGGACGTCTAGGATGGGGCATCTTCCCGCCGCATTCCCGGGCTTTCTACTGCCTTTCTCAGAGGGGGGGCGAGGGGGGAAGAAAAGGAACAGGCACGTGCCTGTTCCTCCTCCTCCTCCTCCTCCTCCTCTTCCCCTTCCCAGGCCTTCAGGATGTGCCTGTGCCTCCTCTTCACTGCCTTTCATGTGCCAGGGAAAATGGGTGCCATAGGTTTGCTACCACGGGTCTATAGGATCCAAGGTTCTCTACCCTAGGTCTGATAATTTACTGCACTACATCTTGGTCTTGTTTCTTTTCACACTCAAAAAACAAGAAACCCAAACTTCTTCTGAAGAAAAAAGAAACTCACTTGTTTCTTCTCTCACTGGCTTCCACTTTCAAGTTGAAGAAGAGGAGCTGGGAAAGAAGCTCCTGCTTTCAGTTTTTAAAGTGACCACAGTTTCACAATAAAAGGGAGGAAGGAACGGGGAGGGGGAAAAGAAAGATGTGGCATCACCTTTAAGACTACCTGGTTTTTATTTTTACATAAACTTTCATGGACATAAACCCACTGAACTGCAGAACCAAAGAAGTGGGTTTGTAGCCCTCCGTGTATTTTGGGGGCTAGTGCGGAGCCTCAGACAATTCCTAAACACAAGCAAACACAGGAGTGCCCTGACTTAGATCAATGAGATGTGAACAGTAACAGATAACATTTTAAGAAACAATAAATATGCTTACAATAATAATGGTTGCCAGTAGTTGTTTGTTGTGTGCCTTCAAGTTGTTTCTGACTTATAATGACCCTAAGGAGAACCTATCATGGGGTGTTGTTTTTTGGCATGTTTCTTCAGAGGACATTTGCCATCACCATCCTCTGAGACTGAGAGAGTGTGCCTTGCCCAAGGTCGCCCAGTGGGTTTACATGGCTCAGCCAGGATTTGAAAACTGGTCTCCAGAGTCCTAGTCCAACACTCAAACCATTATGCCACACGGCCTCTCAGCAGTTACAGAGTAATACTATTACTGCAGTAGCAATGTTGCATTGATACTGTCATAAATGATATTACATTTTATTATAATTACATTGTCATATTTATTTGTATTCATTTTGTATAAGGGTTAAAATATTTTGTTATAAAACATTTATTGTTTCTATCAGTGTTACTTGGTTACTATTTATATCTTTACTGCACATCCCTGCCATACATACTTTTTGAGATATAAAATCCTCTTCTGAGATATAAAATCCTCGACTCAGGCCTGCATCCTTCCGAGGTCGCTAAAATGAATACCCAGATTGTTGGGGGGCAATCAGCTCACAGTTGTAAACCGCTTAGACATCCCATGTGCGATATGAAGCGGTATATAAATGAAGCTGCTTTGCTTTTGCTTTCATTCAACTTGTTCATTGTGAAGGATTGCTGTTTTAGTTTGAAAAGTTTACAAAAGAAAGAAAGGATGATCAGAAGTGAGTCTCTGTAATCTTTACACTATTATTTCCACATTGGCGCAGATGTTAAGTTATTCAGTCATGAAATTATAGGAGGAAAACCAGGATATGAACATTGGTGTCCCAGGTCATAAGCATCTGACTGACATTCCTAATGGAGGAAAAAATGAATTGTAAATTCAAACTTGCACTACTGGCTGTAATGGTAAGTATTACTCTGGCCAGTTCAGTGACCCCCAAAGGAAATGAGGACAGATATTCTGGAGTGGGAGTAGAGACTCATGCATTGGCTTCACTTTCATGTTGGTCCCTTTGTTACTCGCTTTTCTGTTGATTTTCTGTGCAGCTTAGTCCCTGGGAACACAGGATTTGCTCTAAAGGCATTGACTATTGTTTTCCAAAGACTGACATCCTGTGTCCAACAATGGACACATTTGATATGTTGAGAAAAATAAGCCATATATGCATCAATTTACCATTTTTTTGTTAGCTGTCCTCGAGTTGGTTCCAACTCATGGCGGATAAGACATCTCCAAGAATCCCTATTTTCCACTGCCTTGCCCAAATCCTGCAAGCCCTTGCCCATAACCCCCCCCCCATTGAGTCTATCCATCCGGTTTGTGATCTTCCTCTCTTTCTTCTACCCTCTACCTTTCCTAGCATTATTGTTTTTTTTTAGTGATCCATGCCTTCTCATTATGTGGCCAAAGTACAATAGTCTCAACTTCATCATCTTTGCTTCAAAGGAGAGCCCTGGTCTGATCTGTTCAAGAACCCATTTGTCTTCTTGGCTATCCATTGTATCCTAAATACTCTTTTCCAGCACCACATTTCAAATGAGTTGATTCTCTTTCTGTCTGCTTCCTTCACTATCCAGCTCTCACATCCATACATGGTAATTGGGAATACAATGGCCTGAATGATTTTGACTTCATTGCTTAGTTGATGTCTCTGCTCTTTTGTATCTTTTCCAGTTCTTTCATAGCTGCCCTTCCCATTCCTAGTTTTCTTTTTATTTCTTGACTGCACTCTCCATTTTGGTCAATGTTTGATCCTAGATATGATAATTCTTTAACTATTTCAGTTTCCTCGTTGTCTAGATTGAATTTGTGTATTTCTTCTGGGGTCATTATTTTTGTTTTCTTTATGTTCAGCATCAGACTTGCCTTGACCTTTCTTATTAACTGTTCCAATTTCTGAACATCTTCCGCTAATACCATGGTGTCGTCTGCTTATCTTAGGTTATTAATGTTGCTTCTTCCTATCTTAATTCCCCCTTTTACCATTTTTATCATTTACCCTGACATCATAATGTAATCCTATTAATACTTTATTTATGTGCAATGCACTCATGGTTCATATCTGGAATATGGGAATCGTATTGGGGTGTAGTGCCATCAATAGGCTGATAACTCTACTACTCCTTTCCACCCCAATCCAAGGGGGCTGTCCTGGTCCTAAACCAGTGTCTGTCACTAGTGATGGATTGGGTGAGGGCACACCAGTTGAAACTTAATCCAGACAAGACAAAGATGTCCCATGTCATTTGGAAGCCAGATCAGGGAATAGGAATCTAACCTGCTTTAGATGGGGTTACCTCCCCCCTGAAGATGCAGATTCACATCTTGTACTCCTGGACTCAACTTTGAACCTGGAGAGCCAGGTTTCTGTAATGGCCAAGAGTGTATTTACACAGCTAAAACTAGTGTACTAGGTGTGTTTATTAGTTGGGGCGTTGGATCTGGCCTTGGTGGTACATGCTTTAGTTACATCTTTTTTGGACTAATCTAGCACACACTACTTGGTGCTGCCTATCAAGGCATGAAGTTTGGAAACTTCAGCTGATTGGAAACCTTAGCTCGTCCAAAGAGGTGCAGTGAGACTGTTAACAGGGACAGGTTACAGAGGCTACACAACACTCCTGTTGAAACAACTCCATTGACTGCCAGTTTGTTTCCAGGCACAATTCAAAGTGCTGGTTATGACTTATAAAGCCCTATATGCAGGGTGACCAGATGTCATAACTGTAAAGGAGGGCAAGGCACCATGAAATGTAGAATGTTCAAGAAAAATGTAGGACATTAATAAACAAACAAAACACTAATATAAATATACATTCACTAAATTTACAAATATAAATTTTAAATAAAACCCTCCCAATGCCCCTTGATGTCCTCACGTCCCCTTCACTTCCCCCCAACCCATACATGAGGAGGCAGCTGCGCACAAGCCCTGAACCGCATGTAAGGAGGTACCCTATGGACAGGAAAAGAAGGAAAAGGTGGAGAATGAGCCCTCCCTCACACAGTGCCCCAGGACCAGGCCACCCTGGCTGCACTCTCTCCGATTTTAACTGCTTTCCCTGATAGCATTAGCAGCAGCAGGAGGAGGCAGAGGCAGTGGTGCTGCTCCTCCTTCCTTCTCCTCTCATCATTTGGCCACTCTGCCTCACTGTATGCCCATCTTCCAGCCTGGGCTAACACAAGGAGGCTTCCATCATCAACAGTCCTCGCAGCTTGGCCCGGCCCACCAACCTTCTTTCTCTCTTGCCTACCTCAGCAGCTTTCACCACCCTGACTCCAGTCCAGCCATGTCCAATCCCACCCCTTCCCTTCCCTTCTCTCCTGGGTGTAGCTGCACCAGGAGAGGTGGCTCTGAGTGGCGAAGAGCCCTGGTGGAGATGTCTGGTAGGGGAAGGGACTTGGTGGAGCTTCCTCTACCTCAAATGGATGACCATTTTCAATTCCTCCCAGACGTAAGGGTGAAATATAGGACAGGTTTAGGAAAAAGAGGACATGTGGTCACCCTGTCTATATGGCTCGGGTTCAAGCTATTTGGCAGACTGTATCACCTTGTCTTAGCTGGCTTTTGCTATGAAATCATCAGGAGGGGCCCTTCTTGCAAACATGGCTGATGGGGACATGAGAGAGGGCCTTCTTGGTGGCTGCCATTAGACTTTGGAACTCCCTCCCCTAGGAGGACAGAATGGCCCCCTCCTTGTTGTTCTTCTGTCAGCAGGCTAAAACTTTTTTGTTCAGACAGGTATTTATAACAAAAAGTTTTTAAAAGAACAGAATGGGGTGCTGTACTGTTTTAATTTCATTGTTTTTAATTGTTTTTATCTTTTTGATTGTATTTCAAAATCTTTTAACGGGTGATGTTTTAATATTGTCCTAGTTTAATTCTAATGTTCACTTTCCTGTGTTTTTAATTCTACTATTATTTTAATTTGTAAGCCTCTTTGTGTTCCAATTTTGGGGGAAAAGCAGGAATAATAATAATAATAATAATAATAATAATAATAATAATAATAATAATAATAGAAGATTTTTGTATGTGAAAAGGCTATGTGGTCAACTCTGTTAACAGCTAATAATTTCATAAACTATAATTTTGTGTGTGTGTGATTTAGTGATAATGGGTCATCATGTTGTAGCTGTTACCAAACAATTGAATGCCAGAAAACCCAGCCAAACTGCTACGTAAATCACAGATCTGTCATTAGTTATATATACAGTTTACCCTCAATTTTTTGGGGTTTAACCTCTGTGGACTTGATTATTCATGAATTTGTGATAGCCAGGCAAGCCAACAAGGGAGTGAGGCCATTTGGCCTGAGGAAGGGGAGCAAGCGAGTGGGATAATTCAGGAGATGCCTCTATCTGCCCTTTGACTGTGTTCCTGCCACTGTTGCTTCTGGTTGCTTAATCCAAAGGCAGAGCACAATCACACAACAGCCTCAAGCTTCAGTAGTGTGGTGGCGTGAATATGTTCTGCCTTTGGAATGAATGGGCAGGAACACTGCTGCCTCCAGCCTCCTCCTGAAGCTTGAGACTGTTGTGTGAGTGTGCTTTTGTACACAACAGCCTCAGGATTAGGAGAGGGGTGGAGGTGGTGGTGGTAAGGTCTAGCCACCAAGCACATATTCTTTGTGTCCCCCCCCCTCGCCCGCAAGCCTGCCAGCCACTTTGCAAGCCTGAAGAGTGTGCACTTGGCAGCCAGGCCTTGCCACTGCCTCCACTGCTGTCCTGGGACCCTTTCTCACCCTGGTTGGACTAGAGCTCAGCTAAAAAATAAAAAGTCCAGTCTATGGTGGGTAGGTATAGATTTAAGGTTGGAGAGGGGTAGAGATAGTCTTGTTTTCCCCCCTTTTGTTGGGGTCCTGTGCCCCCTAACCTCCACAAATATGAAGGACTGACTGTATGCTCATTGCCCACTGGTGGTAGGGTATACCATTATTACAGCTGGTTTCACCAATGGCCAAGCATGCCTTCTAGAATACTTTCCTGGAGGATATGTTTGAAAGTGATAATCCATGTTAACAAGAATCCTACTGCAATAAATTCATACAGCAGTGTGATCTGCGATGTTACATCTACATGTAAGACATCACTTGCGATAATAATTATATTATTCTCCCACTCCCATAATACTAGAATCCAGGGTCATGCAATAAAACTAGTTGGTGGGAGAGTCAAGACAGCAAAGTATGTTCTTCACTCACATACATGGAATTGCTGAATTTGCTGGCCATCATTGATTATA